TAACTTATTAAATTTTGAAATACGCGATGTTATTCTGTGTGATTTACTTGAAGGTAAGTTTTGTACAAAAAGAGTGCGTATTTTTCACTAACATGTTCCCTTCAGGTAAAACTACTTTGGATCGCTATTGTGCAGTGATATTCCCTGCGGTTTTAGCTATACTGATACTTTAGGTTCCGCTAAAGGATGGACTGCAAACATAATGTTCAGCGAGACGCTAGCTCCTCTATTTCAAACTTTCAAGCAACGCAAGGATACTTTTTCATTAGGGATTTGCAATGGTTGTCAATTAATGACTTTAATCGGTTGGGTTGGTTCCTTTGATGAAAGTACTGTTAAACAAATAGTAGATGTGGCTGATGTTGTTTTATTGCAAAATAAATCGGAACGTTTTCGCTAGGCAACTTTACGCCTTGCGAGTAGCAAAGCCATGATGTTGAGCAAATTGAATGTTTCAGTACTCGGTGGTGAGGGCCGTTTTTCTTTCCGTACACCTGAAATTTTGCACAACCTTAAGGAAAGCAGTGTGCAACTTTGCACTATGTAGATGACAATGTGAAGCGTAAAGAAGTGTATCCCATGAATCCTAACGGCAGCGCTGAAGGTATCGCAGGTTTTCGCTCTCCAGTTGGTCCACATTTGGCTATGATGCCTCATCCGGACCGTTGCTATGCAATGTTTGAATGGCCTTATATATCCCCAGGTTTTCAGGTTACGAAAGGAGTTAGCCCATGGCAAATCATGTTTAATACGGCCAACGAATGGTGTACCGCAGAATAAAACATTCGAAATATCTTTTTTTCATCTCTCTATATTGTAATAAATACTTTTTATATTATTTTTAAAAATACTCAGATTTTATAGTTTTTAATGCCAGCCCTAAAGGCATTATTAAGTTTGATAAATACCATAGAACTATGCTGTAGAATCGCGATCAATCAATTTGATCAATACACTTTTGATCAATCACCATCGATTTACTCATGATCTTCCAATGAAGTTTAAGATGTAAAAGAATTTTCATTTCTTTCTTCTCAATTTTCGGGTGGATTGTTGATTTTCAAAAGTTAGTTTAGTGCCAACTAGGGTGTGTTTGCTAGAGAACTTAGTGCATCTGAAAGGAGGTAGTTACGGGAGACGTGTTTAGCAAGCATAGAGTATTTTTTGCTATCTGTAAATATGACTAGCGCTTTTTATCTATCTTTTTTTTATGTTAAGATGGAATAAGCCAATCAAATTCCTGGTTTATACGTCCATATATCTTTTTTTTCCATCACAATCGACACTTCGACAAGACGTTTAGCAAACGGCAGCTGAAATAAAAACGAATAAAGAAGACAAAAAATTATTTTTTTTTCTGAAAATATACTAAAATAAGGAACTATAACATTTAATACAAACGTTTGGTGAATTTATTTTCGAATGAAAAATTATTCTTTTGTTTGCAACTTTGCAAATTTCTTTTTAAAATATATATATTAGATAGTATTTCGTCCGGACTTTTGGTAAGCGTTTCTCAGGATAACAAATAAAACAACATCAGTTTTTCTCCCTGCGGAGACAGGGTCTGACCCGATTATTGCAGTTAGAGATGTATTTGAAAATTTTTTTCTGACTGCCACTTAGAACAATAAGAGGTTGAGGGTGGTTGGGGACGGAGTTGATTTATCTCCTTCAGCTGTGCTCAGTAACCAGGTGTTTGATAAATCGTTCGGTTTCGATGCCAGACGGGTTGGAATTCTCCCGAAGAACCAGGTACATTATCGCAGACTATTAGGGCTAAGACTCCAGCTGATTGGACTACACGAGCCTCACTCACAAAAGTGCAATCGCCACGCTCAGCTATAACAATTTTTGTACGTGCCTCTTCAGCATCCTTCAAGATGGGTGCACAAGCACATATAGAATCCGCAATTATAACCTCTCCTTCTACAAAATTATCTTTTATAAGTTCAGGACCCTACATATAACGACATGTAACTGTTTAAGCAAACGTACGGACAACCGCACACAAATATTTCTATCATAGTGAAAATACACTCTCGCACAAATGTTTTGAGTACGCATACTATAGTACACATATGCTGATAGTGTGTAGTCTTACGCATACTTGCTGTAAAAATTTCTCATTTCAGTTTTTGCACTCTCTTTTACGGTATTTGATATTGCTTATGGCTTACGGTCTTTACGGTCTTAATACAGCTTATTACTTGTTTATATCGGATGCCTTGGAGTAGGACTTAATAGTTTTGAGGCGCAAATGTTGTTGTCGAAATTACTCTCTCAAGTTACTAAATTCGAAGTTAGCTCATTTAATTACTCTCTAGTTACCAAATTAGAAGTTCGCTCATTTAATTACCCCCTCAAGTTACCAAATTCGAAATTCACTCATTTAGTTACTCTCTCTAGGTACCAAATATTGTTACAAAAATTCAGTATATAAAAAATAATTTGAGTTTTCATAACAATTAGTCGATTTTCTAAGAAACAAAAGAAACTGAAAGAACTAAAGAAAAGGGAAAAGCAAGTACATATTCATTGCGCCTTACCTAAGTCATGCAGCGGTGACTGTCGGAAAGAGTAACTGCAGAAAGTTAAAGGAAAAACTAATTAATGGACTAAAAGTGTCGCGATGCACTTAAAGTGTAAAAGCACCTCGGCAATGCATACAGATTTGCTTTTATGCGAATGCACATGTTTCAATAGCCCACGATAACGGTTTATAGCTTCCACATATGTTCAAGTTGTGCCTTTTAAGAGAAGTACGAAGCGATGACGGTTGTGATTTTTCCTTTTTATTATATTAAATTTACGGAAAATTAGGTTTTTGGAATATACTTTGTCATTTTATTTAGCTTCAGAAAATCTTAAGAAAAATTCTGTCGAAGAGCAAAAATAACTACTCTTGAGTTATTTCCTAAAAGAATATAACTTTTAAAGAATTTTATATATTTCAAATTCGTTTTTATGGCCGGCATTCAATCTAATATTCGATAGATTACGTTATGACTACGGTTTCTGATTTCGTTGCTGCTTGGTTTTCTCTCTACATTAAAAAAATGACAACAACTGAACAACATGCATGTAACTTCTAATATACTTTTCCATTAGAAATTAAAGGCGCAAAAGCCGCAGATTTGGCCATTAGGTCTGCTCTCTCATTTTCTAGGAGGCCATAACTTTTAATTTTATCTTTGTATATAGTAATGGTAATCCTCACTTTGTTAATGGTTTGCAAGTTGAAATTTAAAGAGTTTCGAATAGCTTTGATGACTGACAACCTATCCTTTTTACCTTTAGCGTTACGAGCAAGGTTTGTAGCCTGAAGAATAGCTCTAGCTTAGGTTGTAGGTGTTGACGCACTTTTGTGTAGGACGTGATTAATCTAGACTTGTCCTTTGACATCTACTACTGTATGGGAGGGGACAGGTCATCACTTTTTGAACTGCCTGTAAAAAGAGGATGCTAGCCACTACTTTCTGTGATTAATTCTCTGAAGACGAAGTTAGACGTACATTATTTTTGCAGTGAAATGTCGCAAATGTTGATGTTTAAAGCCTAAGATGATTTATATCCAGATTTTCGAGGGACGTTTAGGAGAATATTTATTTCTATTCTTTTGCAACATACATGCAGGAGTTAATTTATCAGTTTCGGCATGAGTTTAGCGTTTAACTTGTACATTGTATTTCTAGTGTCCTGATAGTGATGTTATTGATAAGTGTTGTTCGGAAAGCATATGTACTAGAAATATTTATGTTCGGGATGCTGTTGTTGCCATACCTGATTAAACTATAGTCAATTTTACTTAAAACAATCATTTTGCTAAGATAAACAACAGCGTTTACGTGAACAAAGATTTTCCAATCTAGCTTATGAGATTCGCCATAATTTGAATGTAATTCTTTAGCCGAAGGGAGTGTGGCTTCCAACCGTATTTATTTGAAAACGTAAGTCCCAAAATGTTCAATGTTTGCACATTTTGATCTGGAAAATTATTTGCGTGCATAAGCCGTCTTTCCGCATCGCATAGGCGTGCCTTACAAATGTACAACTTTCTTGATTTCTGCATCGCTATTTTTGAAACCTGATTTTTCTCAGAAACTGCTTTAGTTGTGAAATATTCAATACGTAGTTGAGCATCAACACAGCTTATGTCTGGCTTAAGTCCAACCTGTTGCTTTGTAATTAAATTTTTTGGACTCTGGAAACCAAGATAATCTAGAAAACATACTTTTTCCCAAAATTTTTCAGAGGCAGGATAGTAGATTGATTGCACAGCAAATTTATGCAATAGTTTCTTTTTTTTGAAATGGTAACAATTACTGCTATTCAGTTAGGAGTATGACCAGTCGAGACGATTATATTGCAGAAATACAGTAATTTACGCTCACTTGATCATTTAATATAAAATACGATATTTCTCCAATGTATACATAGGTTTCTCTAGAAGTTCAGCGTATCTGTCAATACGACGAGCATCTGGAAGAGTAAGAGTTACCACATTGCCAGTAAAGCTTCAGGAGATATTGCAGTCGGAAGACTGCTTAGAGCAAACTTCTCGGAAGTTTTCAATATAACTGTCGTTGATATATTCCTGAGAAAACTTTCGGAGTATTGTTTAAAGCTGATGATTTTTGATGCTCGGAATCCTTTTCGAAATTAAGCGTTAGCTTTTTGTGCAACAAGAGATTAGTATAATCAATGTATATTTTGAACAGTTGACAGAAGTTTTATTTCTCTGTAGCAAAGTTAGCTTGCGGCTCAATTAAGGAAACGATGCACCTTTAACATGGTTCTTAAATTTAAGTATGAAGAAAAACTTAAAATTGAAAACAGATTTTTTTTTTGTGTAATTTATTTAATACTCAAAACAATATTATCGTATAGAAATCGCATTCTGTTCACTATTTTCTTACATGGAATAAAATTTATGCTTTGCTCCAATAACATTTTTGTTTTTATTACTAATTTTCTTTCTTTATTCGTTGTTGTTGTAGCGCTTCAAGGATAATGATATTGAAGTTAAGCGAAAAGATGGCATTATATTATTGCGCGAGCTTTCGGCTGAGGTAAAAAACTTTATGGATTTCAAACGTAACGCTGTGATGGTAAGCAAAATTTTATTATAATTTACTTTACACAGTTGATAATTGAAAACGTCAAAGCAAAACCATATCGCGTATAATTGACGTTAAAGCTATCCTGAAAACTTACGACATATTTAATTTACACGAATCTTCTCGAATTTAAAGAACCGCCACAATATATACAATATATTTTTTTATTGCATGGCAATCCTGCCAGGTCCTGTCCCCATTCATATTACAATATCCAATTTTCGATAAACCCTTCATTTTAACAACTGATGCATAAAATTACGCCTTAGGAGCAGTACTATCCCAAGAAGTAATAGGTCAAGACTTACTTATCGCATATGCAAGCAAGTACCTAAATAAACATGAAAAAAACAAACAAATTATAGAAAAAGAACTACTCGCAATCCACTTTGGAATAACACATTTCAGACCCTACTTATTCGGCAAAAAATTCCCAGTGATAACTGATCACCATTAGTATCACTATTCTCCTACAAAAACTCCACCTCAAACCTAACCAGAATAAGGATAGAATTATCGGACTACGATTTCAACATAATTTGTAAAAAAGGTTCAAGCAACACTAACGCTGACGCCTTATCAAGGATAAACATAAATTCTGATATATTAAAAGAGATGATTCCAATATCCAGAGAAGAAGACCAAGCACGAATAAAAAAGACGTTAGTCATAACCAGAAGCGAAAGAAAACACACACAATGAACAATTAAAAATGTGACAATGCACGTCAATAATTGACATTAAGAACACAAGAAAGTTAGAATTTAAATTCGAAAGCAGTATAAAACATATTATAATTGAATATGTTAAAGAATTAAACTGCACACGTGTGAGATGCAATGAGTATCCAGACTATTTCGATGCGCTCTTGGAAGAATTGACATCAAAACTAAACAAGTTAAATTTCTGAGAAAGTGCATTAAATCTACAAGATGATATAATTAAACACATATCCAAAGAGATATTAAAAGAAAAATTCAACAATATTAAAAGGAACCGCATAAATCTACTATTATATAAAGAAAGACAAAAAATATATGATGATAAAGAAAAGTGCAAATTAAGAGAAAAATATCACACTTGACCACACTCAGGACATTTCGGAGTAAGAAAAGCATTTCAAAAACTAAGCCAAAAATACATCTGGTGTAATGCTTCCTTCCTCAAGTTGTAAGGAAGCGTTTTGCTTCCTTACTGATAACAAGTCCGTCCGCACAAATGTCTACCCGTAGACCCCAAGCAATCAGTCTGGTTTGTCCCTTACATGGCTTTTTGATAATCAGCAGGAGAAAGAGAGAGAGAAAAGAAAATATACCTAGCTAGGAAAGATATACACATGTATGAAACGTATACAAATGTATAAACTCTATAAAATGTATACAAATGTATGAAAAGTATACAAGTATAAAATTTATAAAACGTGTAAAGGTACATATAGTAGATCCTATAAACAATATGCATGAATTTTTCTCTAAGGAAGCATTGTACAGACAGATTGTAAAGTCATAGCGAGACTAGCATTCACACAGCTAACCGTTAGCAAATCATAAGATTCGGTACCTGGGTTAGCGTTTTACAGAATCATACCGAGTAGCGGTAACAATAAAACAAATGTAAGGATAGGCATACAAGCTAACACTTCGACAAGATCATACGTGTCAATACTTAAGATAGTATTAGTAAATGCAGGCAAACATGTTCGATCAGACCTAAGTTAGTATACGTAGGAACAGATACATAAGAACAACATTTTACCTAGTGTAAAATTCCTCAGAAATAAATAAATAGAAACGTAAGAACATAACCTTAGGTCCAAGTTTTTTTAATACAAATTCCAAAACGTGCCGAACATAGAGGGAAATTGCCAAATCGAAAAAAGGCGCAGGAGAATGTCTCAAACCACTTATTTACTCATTGAGTTTACTCTCTTAGTTGCAACCAAGAAGATGATAAATCCTGAAATCACCATCTCCCCTTTGAATTTAAAATTTTCTAATCCCGAGACTGTGACACGCATCACAGACAATATTCCTTCCGATCACGAAACGATCACTGATTCCACCATTTGCTCTAAGTTGTTTTAAATCTCCGATCGTATTCAACAATTTCAGCACATGAAGCCGTTCTCTAAATCAAATTCTATTATTAACTCCGCCTTGCGTTTATCTCGCGACTTTCACAAGAGTGTTCTTAAACCTTCGAGCCTTCGGGCTCGTACTCCTATTCTCTCTCAATCAATAATGAAAATAGCTCAACTTAACTGCTCCGGCATCCGTAACAAATTAAAACGGCTTGAAGAATACCTTTTCTTAAGCCTCATGATTCTTTTTCTATTAATAATTATAACATAGATATTAGCATCCTTTTTCCAACTCCTCTCATGGTGGTGCTGTGGCGATCCTTTTATCTAGCAAGCTTTCATTCTCTTACAATTTTCCAAATTTTGTCCAATACCATGCGTAACTATCCAAATCAATGATCCTTCGGGTTGTTTCTTTGATAGATTCTCAAAGTCTTTCACTGATGTTCTGAACCGAAGGTCTTCTAAAAAATCCTACCCTCAACGCAAGCAATCTAGTTAGCCCAAGCTTAGACTCGCTGTAAATAAATGTAAAAGATCTAGTTCTAGGATAAATTTCGCATTTTTGGCCGATATTAGAAAGGTACATACTTATACCCTCAGATTAGTAAGACGTAAAGGTTGGAATTTTGTAACAATGTCAACAGTGACATGTCAGTCTCAGATCAGATCACTTTCTCTCGTTGTTCCATCCCCTCGCAACTCTTTAACGTGTTCTGTGACAATCTTGCTGGACTTTCTGGACATTCTCCCCTCTGCTTCACTCGATTAAGAGCGTGATAATTTTTTCTTAATCGACATATATCTCTCTGAGCTCAATAAAGCCATTAATCTCTCAAAAGCTCCGTGATGCTTAGATGGTATCCGTAACAATTGTAAGAAAATGAGTAGACGATGTTTTTTTTTTTCTTTTTTTGAAAAAGAAAAAATAAAACTTTGCGCAGTTCTGATTTGAGTTTGTAGTCATTAGTCAATTTTTTTTTTGGAATTTAAAAAGAAGGATGTAAAAAAATATAGAAAAACTTGTAAGAGTTCCTTATTTTATTTATGAAAAGAATATTGACTTTAACGCTTTACAAGATTATTAAAACCTCAGCGAATGCATTAATTCGCATCGTATTAACATTTCGGTTAACGGTTTTGAAAACACATTGCAACGAATTAGGAATGTAATGAAATTAATCGTTAAACAATTAATGCATTTATAGAATTCATAAGTAAAGAAGTTCTGAGCGGTGATTCCTATTACAATTGTTTCGAGTTTTGTTCAAACATTTTTCCTGACCAAAATCCACGCCATAACCGACGTAAGCCGTATAAATATAAAAGTCAAAGCCGGTGTGTTTGTAGCTTCTTAGTGAGCCTTAAATCAGCATCCAATTGGTTTTGTGTACGTTCAACTTTTTTTTCGCCATTTTCTACCCGTTTTAGCGTTACGAAAACCATCTACATCAAATTTAGCAGCCCTTACTATATCTAATTTGATAATTAAACGTTTGCAGAGGCATCGTAGTTCCGAAACCCATGATGAGAGTTTAAAAACTCAACAAAGCAGCGGTGATATTTATTTACCTATACATCTTGAACAGAGCTATTTAAGTGTTTAATTTTATTTATTCAAACAAATTATAAAAATTCTTATTTAATTAAAAACACAAATGTACATTCGGCGAGTTTTTAAGTGGGTAAGCTAAATGTTATTGTTAATTAAATAAGTTATTTTGGCAATAACTTAATTGGTATTAATTTATAAATCATTTTATTTAACATAATCATTAGTTATATGTTTTGTTTTGTTATCTATTATTCGTATTGTTTATTTTAATTATTAACATGTTTTCTAACTAATTAGCTTTGAATGGCTGGCGAAGTAAGTTTACTCATTACACTACACTTTCACTTACAACACATAAAAATTATAAAAATTCTGTTAGGCAAATTTCTCTTATGAACGCCCAATTTCGGCGAACTAATCACGTTTCGTTAAGAGTATGCTATACAATCACCCTCTCCCTGGTACGACTTCCAAATTTTCACTTTAATAAAATCAAATAACTCGCCAGTTAATCTTAATTCCTACAGTTGTATTGCCTTAGTTTCCACCCTTAGGAAAATTTTTGTTATACTCACTTCTAGAATGGCATCTCGAGTCCAATCACATCCTCAGCAATCTTTAATTTGGTTTTAGAAGTTACAGATCTGGCTGAGACACATTTACAATAAATTCAGCCTTTGCTGGGAACCATATTCTCATTGTATACTTTCTGAACATAACCTTAGCATTTGCTGCTATGAATTGCAATATCGTAAAATCTCTCCTTCTCTCTTTGAATCTCCCTACAAAATTCTGTAATTTGATATATAACCTCTTTCTCTATAAAAAAATGTGAATTAATAATGATGATAATGTTTTACAAAGGAGATCTTTTACAGGTGCTCCTCAGAGAGAAGATCTAATTTATAATGTTACGAAATTCGCTTTTCTATTATAGGAGTCGTACCAATAGATCGTGGATATTCTTTTTTGAAGAATACACTTTATATTATTATTATTATAATTTTAGACTAATGAAATAAATTCTTAGACTAAAAAAAAATTGAGCACTAGCAGCACAAGCCATCGGCTCTAATATAAATAAATGTACATTAGATAATGAGCTTAGTACTATTAATAAAGTAATATATAGAATTAATATTCGGTTCTGAAGCTGATTTTAGAGAGAGAATGTCGCAGAGAATGTGGTTTATAGTGAGAGTTTGTCCACAACTGCAGATTGGGGAGGAAGACTTCTTCAAGATCCATTGGTGAGTTGCACTTGTATGACCAAGGCGAACTCTCGAAAATGTTTGGATCTTGGTTTTCTCAATATTTGTTTCACATAAACGTGGAGTTAATTGATGGTTAATGGAA